TGCAATTATGATATGATTCTAGGAAGGGACTTTCTACTGAWGACAGGGATAGATCTCTTCTATTCTTCACGCACCATCCGATGGTTAGGATCAACCATTGATATGAAACCAACAGATCACTTTAACAATCCCCAGAACGTGGCAGAGGCCATGTGGATTGCAGAGGATGATGAACTCTTAGATGGAGGHTTCTTTGAGTTTCACCTACTCCYAAGCTGCCAACCACAAAATTGCAGACGTGCAATCGGTTCGGACAGTTATTTAGCAGCAGATGCTGCCAGGGCTCCCAGTACTAAAAGTACAAAGCCTAATCAAATCCTGGACGCGCAGTACCAGAAAGTGACTCCAGAGCAGGTTGCAGACCAGCARGAGCAMATGAACANATCAGAAAGACTAGCATTCACAGAGATGCTAGCCAAACACACAGAATTGTTTGACGGCAGACTAGGTTGCTATCCTCATGAGAAGATCCACATTGATCTAAGGGATGATGCAGAACCAGTTTACATAAATCCGTACCCAGTTCCTTACAGACACAAGGATGTGTTCAAGAGGGAATGCCAGCATCTTGTTGATGAAGGAGTCATTGCACCCACTGGTAACTCGGAATGGGGCTTCCCTGCCTTCATCATTCCGAAAAAGGATGGACGAGTAAGGTGGCTCGTTGATCTCAGAGAATTGAACAAAAGGATAAGGAGACCTAAGTTCAATCTCCCCAAGATTCAGGATATCTTGAACCGACAAACCAAATATGATCACTTCACGAAGATTGATTTGTCTATGATGTTTTACTGCTTTGAGTTGGATGAAGAAAGCCAGAAGATTTGCACTCTCACMACAACACACGGCAATTACAGATGCCTCAGATTGCCTATGGGACTCAAATCATCTCCCGACTATGCTCAAGCCTTCATCACAAGGATCCTTTCCAGTCTAGATGTTGAAGTATATATTGATGATATGGGTATTTGGTCCCGGGGACCATTCAGCAAACACCTCTCATTAGTTGACCCAGTCCTGAAACAATTGGCTTGCAACGGAATGAAATGCAATCCACTCAAGTGTGAATGGGCAGTGAAGGAGTCTGATTTCCTTGGCTTTTGGCTTACCCCGACAGGAGTCAAGCCTTGGCAAAAGAAGGTGGAGGGGATCCTAAAGATGGGAGTTCCACAAAACCAATCACAGATCCGCTCTTTCCTTGGTGCAGTGAACTATTACAAATCMATGTGGCCTAGAAGATCACACGTACTGGCCCCCCTAACTGCACTCACTGGCTCAGGACCCTACGTGTGGACGCCAGCATGTAATCAGGCGTTTAAAGAAATGAAGGCTCTCCTGGCACACGATGCTATTAACACCTTTGCTGATCTGAACAAGCCTTTTCACATTTACACHGACGCTTCTGATTATCAGCTCGGAGCTGCCATCCTACAACATAACAGACCAATTGCATATTGGTCAAAGAAGCTCAACAAGACCCAAATGAACTACACCACAATGGAAAAAGAGCTTTTAGCTATCATCCTGTG